CGCGGATCTTAACCAATCACTTGCGGTTTTGACCGAAGGAGGGAAAAAAAAGGAGAAAAAAAAGTCGGCTCGTATTTGGAGCGGCTCCCTATTAGGAGCCGGCTCCCGTCGTTCACTTCAAAGAGCCGGCTCTAAGAGCCGGTTCGTTCGCGAACGACACATCACTCATACAGAGTGTGATTTGTTGCAAATACACGTGAGTTTCCTGTCAGTGTTTCTCGTGAACCTTATAAGACGTTCGAATATATTGTTTTCCAAAATCTCGTTTAGTATAGCCATGCACAACGCCTCCAATTATCTAAAAATACAATTTACTGCGAGTACTAGCTACTACTTGACATAAGTTGTTACACTTGACAGATCATTGGAACATACTAAACAGACTAGACTATAGCAACCACAAATATAATATAGCTTACCTGACTGACTAGGGTTCGCCGGAAATGGTCAAGTTAAAATACTTGACTTTTTCCTAAATTTGTGGCGCTGATGGGATGCAACTATTTTCTCTTGAAAGGAGGCGGGGTCAGAGTGGGAGTAAATTCTAAACATAGCTTCTATGCACATCCTGGAAAACATTGATGATTAAATAAAATTGACTTTTGTGTTGTGAGATTCATTGCCAACAACCGGGGCTGGTATTTGGGGGTCAAGGCATTTGCCACCCGGGAAAACAGCCTCTTTATTAGACTATATTTATTTTTATCGGTCGACCCGCGACGCCATTTGTTGTTTTGCATCGAAAGTAGTCTGTCTTTTCACATGGCGCTGTCTAAATTCTGTCCAGCAGACGGCGATCGCATACCACGCAAGTTTCTTCAGCAAATGAGTTGTTGCCTGCTGAGACGTTGGAGGTACTGCAACTCATTTTTGGCACTTTGTTTTCGAATGTCAATGCTTGTGGGTAAATCACATATTATTGAGTACAGACATTTAGACAAAGCAATGGCAAAATACAAAACAAATATTTAAAGATTAAGGAAGCACGAAAATGTCAACAGTCGAATAAACAACGCGTTCCTGTGCACGTTTTTCTCTTTGGGCGGACGCGCGCGCGTCATGGCGGACGCGCGCGCTCCACAGCGTACTCAACAACGTACGTGCGCGTATCCGAGGAACTGTGACCAAGATGGCGTGTCCCCACGGAACAAGTAAGCTCAGTTTTTTCATAGCACAGCCAGTATCCTTTCATTTAATTTAAGACAATATGCTTCCCAACATATCCCTCTTATCAACAAGATAGCTTCAAAAGCTTCAGTGTAATGTCTTGGTGCTTTGGACTTTTGCAGTTGTGCTTGATATGCTACCCGCAATGGTACTTGATAGCTAAGCGACTAGCAAAACTGGCCGCCAGCCTTTATGAGCCATAATGAGGTATTCCGGATCAGAGAATAACGTTCTTTATAAATACGTACACGAAGTTAAACATTGGCGCAGTCGTCATAATGTTCACGTGATTTCATGCGGCGTACCCCTACTTAGCTATAGACAGCTAAAACAGTATGGCTCTCAAAATTCAGTGTTGTTTTCTGAACACATTTGTCACTCTTTCGAAGATTATTTGTACTTGACAACTAATGTTGGTGGAGTCGTCATGTGCTGGCAGTAAAAGCTACATCCGATCTAAGAAAAACATATGCGAGCTAACATTTAAAATGTTTTTTGAGGTTCCAACAGAGAATAGCCCGAAAACCGTATTTAGCATTCACAAGAATGACTCTGATTTCGGATAGGGAGCTGATGGTATTTACCTGAGTAACTATTGGCACATACAGCTTTGAAATGTGCTACGTGCCCAATGCGGTTTTCAATCATTGCCGCCTATGGTTTACCTAATATTTAATCAGCGTGTGAATAACGAAACCCTTTTAATGTATATTGTCTTGCTTAACGAGCACGGCCTATCATTCTCTGTCTGAAGACGTCGTAGTTCCCCGCAACTTCCGGCTGCTGGAAGAACTGGACGATGGTCAGAAAGGAGTCGGAGATGGCACAGTTAGTTGGGGCCTTGTCAACGACGACGACATGACTCTCACTCACTGGAATGCCACCATCATCGGCCCCCCTAAGGTGAGACGTCTCTGTAGGATTTATGTCATACATAATGTAGGGAGTATTATATCTAACACGAAAGATTGTTGATTTATGGGAAGACTTATGTGTTTCCATGGCAGCTTCCCTAACATTTTTGGGCTTGTGTACCCCCTGAACCTTTTGTTTGTCATACCAAGAGTACCCCCTCATTTGTGATGATTGTACAAATGTGCAATGTAACATAGCTAATAATTAAATGAAGATAATTTGATTTCGTTTCCCTAACTACAACATAATTCTTAAGCATTGTTTTCTTTTTAACTCAGATATTAAAATAACCATGCTGCCTTGAAAATATATAAATTAAAACCTCAAAATAAAGAATATGGATTGTTATGGATAATTCACAGTATTTACCACAAAAAATGTCGCTCCTTTGAATAAGTCACCCTTAAACAAGCATTGGATTGGATTGGTTTGGATACAACTTTATTGTCAAATGTACTGCAGCACAAATGAAATTTCTTCCCTCTCAACGTAAAACAAGAAACAAGAGGAGCCGCTGTGGGTGTCCGCGCCGCCATCAAAAGAAAATTGAAAGCTCAAATATGAACAAAACACTGAACAACAATATTAATTTTGCAGTTCTACATTCTTTTCATTATCATCATCCTGTCTCAAAAACGAACCTGGACAAAAATGAACGGGTCTATTGATTGTTTGCAAATTAGGAGGAATTGTGAAATCTTAATTCGGTAAATCAGCATGCATACATGGCAAAGAAAGGGGAAATGATAAGTTTTCATTCTGCGAATCAGTGGGCACGATTGAGTCATGCGGGTGGGTGAAGGTTGGTTGGATGTTGGATATTCACTTCACATTTAGTTCTAACACATTCATACTCCGGATTACAGCTGTATTAGCGTTAACGCATCGCGGCAAAATCGCAGCTGCATTTTCTGTTCACTTGCTATGTGCTTGCAATCAGGGCATGAATAACCGTTTGTGTTAAGGACTCTCCACAAATCCACAAATTACATATTCCAAGGGCACCTATGTGGCACAAATCACAGCTTCTGTAGTAGCTGGAAATGGTCGTCCTTTGCAAATTACACAGACTGAACGAGGAATTGAATGAAATGTGAGTAATATTCACAAAAGTCAGTGAAAACCCCCTATGCAAGCCTGGACATATTTTGAAGTTCTTTATTATCAAATATTCCCATTGAATTTCATCTTACAATTTTTTCTACAGAAAATGTATGGGAGCAATTCAAATACAAACAAAAGCAGTTGTTCAGAATTGCAGTCCATTAATAATTGTTCTGTGAAGCAAGTGCAGATTTATGCAGATTGACAGCAAGTGCAGATTTATGCAGATTGACAGTATTTTTTGTAGAATATCGTCTATTTTTTTTAAAGCATATATGGTTTTATTTATTTAAATAGCACATCTTGCCACCACTCATTTATCCGAGGTGACGTGTACCCGTCCGTGGTTAAGAAACACTTCATGGCAGGGGTGTCCATGTCCAGTTGTCGAGAGTCTCTATCCAGCGTGTTTTAGATGTCTTACCCCTCCGAAACATCTGATTAAAATGGTCACTATCAGGCTACTTTGTTTGCTGATAAACTGATCATTTGAATCGGGTGTGTTAAAGGAGGGAGACATCTTAAAAAAAACAAACAAACAAAAAAACAAAAAAAACAGGCTCTATTACAGCTCTTGAGGACCGGACTTGAGCACCATTGCTTTATGGTATAAAATTTATACTTTCAATCATCTAAAACAGTTTTAGCATGTGGTAATTTGAATCCAGTCAAATTTACTTTGTTAATCTGTAATCATGCCATCATTAGCATTTCTGTCAGAGCACTTGTATAGTAATTTTGGTACGTTGGTGCCTCAAGAGATTCATGGGATGATATGTGAATAGGAGCAAAGCATTATGGAAAGAGCTGATTAGTTTTCATCTTCAGTGACAGGTCATATGTAAAATCGCAGTAGTAAAGATTTTATGAGGATATGTCCCACTATACTGCTCTTGTGATCGTGTCTTGTGCCATACTTTGGAGAAATCATTTGTGGTCTGTTCTAACCCTTGTACAGTGTTTCCTTGCTACTTCTCAGTTTGGTTCTTGCAACATCACTGTATTCTCATTTCTGACTTCATCTATTGGACTTTTCCCTCACCATTTTTCTTGTTCGAAAACACAATGTCTAATACATTTTAACGAGCGTGATTCGATTCATTGGGGGGCAGACAGGTGTAGGTGCATAAATAGTGGCGGGCACCATGGCTGGTATCCCCAACAGCATCCTCCCTTCTAGCCTCGCACCCATTGCGGCGACCCAGGGATATTGCCAGCCACCACTCGGCGCCGGCAGCAAGAAGTCAATACACTTCACAAACCGCATTTGTTTGGCTTAGTGGCGGGCAAATCGCGCTTGCTTTCACACTTGGAAATGTATTTTTGGCGTGTCTGAAGAAAACCTGTGTGAGTCGGTGACGTCATTACGCTGGTGTGCATGCGTTGCTGTGTTCAAGTACACTAAGGAAAATAGAAAATTCTTCTACTCTCGCACAGTCGTAACTTAGAAAGATGTGCTTTGGAACCAAAACATGGTACCATTCAATTTCACGTAAATCAGTGCTCGGTAGTATCGACCCAATTTGGTCCATACTCCAAAAAGTACCATCTTTGGTACCCATCCCTCACATGTACCCCTGCAGGTACATGAAATTGATGAATTTGGGGGATGGGGGTGCTTGGAACATATCCCCTGCAAAAAGTGAGGATGAACTGTATTTTTTAAAATAAAAATTGGCTATGATGCTTCACTTCACATCGCTGCCCTTGTTCATCGCCATTGGTATCATTCTCTCAAGGCGAGCGGTGATCGGACTCGATGAAGTGGCATGTGGCTAACGTGAAGATGAAAGTAGTGGTCAGTGATAATTTTACAGTTTGAGCCCTGCAAGCCCCAGGGACTTGCTGACAGAAAAGTATGAGTCCCATTATGCGTTTAGAGAGTCCCAAATTTCGAAATCTGAAATGGTCAATGTATTCAATTGCATATGATAATAACACAAACAACAACAATATACATTGATAATAGGTTTATTTCTTATAAACAAATGCAAAAATTTAAATAATTCAGGCGTACAAGATTTGCTGAGAAATAGGTTCTTATTTCATCCCATGGTTCAGTCTTTGAGTAAATAAATAAACTTTCGCAACACTTGTTTGAATGTTACACGACTTGGCAATCGTCTGCTTTCCACGAGGTGAAGGACGATTTTCGCCAGTCTCGTCTCGCGAGAACGGAAATCTCGTCACGTGAGATTACTTAACGCGAGATCAAAACAACAATGGCGGCGATTGTCAAAGTGCGTTTGTCTTTCTGGAAAAAAAGATTTACCGTAGTTTTGTTGTTGTTTTTTTTTTTTTTTTTTTGACTGAGAAATTTCCTTGCGTCCCAAAAACGCACGTTATTTGGAACTATGCGTCTGGCGGGAAAATTATGTATCTAGGACGCGGGACTCAGAGATAACGAGATGGCTGAGTGTTGTCTATCTGTTCTGACCTTTTTATTAAAACTGCAGCAATGTGACAAGTGGCCATCAGGCGGAATTCTGTAAAAAATAAATAAGTGGAGTTGCGCATCCCCTCTAAAATTCTCCATGAATATATTCATTTAAAAAAGAAACAGTTGATTACGAAAGTATGTGACGTATTCTATCACACAAATTATGTTCAATTCGTCTGATTGTACAAGGTACAATTTGAAAGACACGTAGGCGAGCTTGTACCAACAAGGTTTAATTTAAAGTTCGTGACCGAAAGAATGAGATTCTGGATTCAAGCGCCCAAAATGGGTTTCCTCTGAAGGGTGTCCAGGGTCTCCTTTAGAGAAAGATGGTGAGAAGCTCCATCATCTGGAAGAGTCGAGTGGTCACTCTTCCGTGTTGAGAAGAAGCAGATGAGGTGGCTTGTGCATCTGGTTAGGATGTCTCCTGGACGCCTTCCTGTTGTGTCCCACCAACAGGAGAGCCCAGCGCTGACTTAGGACACTGAAAGAACAAGATTCTGGACACAAGTGGCTGAAATTAGTTTGCTCCTCAGGGTGTCGAGATAGGGCTTGGTCATCCAGGTGGGGCTCAGAGTAAAGCCACTGCTCCTCCATTTGAGATGAGCCACATGAGGTGGCTTGGGCATCTGATTAGGATGCCTGCTGGACATCTCCCTGGTGAGGTGTTCCAGGCACGTCCCACTGGGAGGAGGCCCCGGGGATGTACCAGGACACGCTGGAGAGACTTTGTCTCCCGGCTGGCCTGGGAAAGCCTTGGGATCCCCCGGGAAGAGCTGTAAGAAGTGACTGGGGAGGGGGAAGTTTGGGCTTCCCCTGCTAGAACTACGGCCCCCGTGACCCAACCCCGGATAACTGGTTGAGAATGATGGATGGTTTACTTTAATCTAAGATTAGTTCGAATTAGAGATTCCTAAAACAAAGTGTAAAATGAGTTAATGCGATTTAAAATAAAGCAGCACTCTCTTCAACCATGCTGTATTAAACCATTTAAAATGAATCAATTTAGTGAAACTCAGTTTAACTGAATTTAAACTGAGTTCAACACAATTTGTAGGAATGATTGTGGATATTGAAATTAAAAGTAATTAATGAATTATGCATGCAAATGTATATGATACACTGCTAGACCACTGTCAAGCACCCCGTGTCTGTAGGTGCTTTTTTTCCCCCCCAATTCCACCTCATTTGTAGCTTCTACTGCCTTGCTCCTCATCAATCAATCTCCTTTGCTTGATGTAATTTTGGTCTTAGCCCTATGTATGACTGCAGCACACTCATCTCCAAACGCATGCACACCGGTCTCTGGACCCCGGTCCTTGGCTTTATTTAATTGGTTCAGACGATGTCCCTAATGTGTGTTTGTCGTTGAACCAAATGGAGGCTTTCAGAGTCGAGGAAACTTCCTCTTCCACCCCTTCAAAGGCTGGTTGTACTGGTGCAATGTCTTTGTGTGCGTTCGCGCGCGTGCGTGTGTGTACCATTGAGAAATTTGTCTCAGTCCCAAGCCCTGTCCATGTGCGAGTCTGCTAATTCATAAGCTGTCCACTGTGCTTTCTGATGCGATATTGCAAATACAATCAGTACCTCAAATAAATAGCAGTACACAAGAAGTAGTACTTCACCAAGTACCGGTGCCAATACCATACCGTGCATTTTATCTGTCAAAAATGGCACAATCCAAATGCTTTTACTTTGAGGAAGCAAAAAAAGCAACTCTGTCAGATGGTGCTGGCTTGCAGCGTGCCCGCAAAGATAAGGGGCAAAAGTGTCGGGGCTGGCGTCTGTCATGGAAAAGCAGAATATGGGACATGTATTTGGCAATGTAGTTAGAGATGTACTGTATCCTGGACCGGGTCAGTACAAATGTATCCACTTAAATCGATCAAGCCATTTTACCACATTCCAATTTGCACGTCAGGTTAAGTCCTTCCAGAAAGGAGTGGCTGAACACGATAAATACAAGTCTGAATGTGTAAAGTGCCACGTTCACGGCCATCTAACTTTACTACAAGTTTTCTTTTGAAATCAGACCGTGTACAAACATTGTGAGCACCCATCCTTGATCAACCACGTTCATTGAAGCGCGGCGCGTTCTTTGAACCCACTCTGTGCATTTTGCCAACAGAGTGGACACTTACCACACCCTTTATTTGATTATAAATACTGGTGGATACTGTTGTAAAACACAAAACGGCCTTTTGGGTCCCCAACTGTCAAGCCATCGCTAGCGCTAAACGTCCATGTGAAAGTGGGTTTGATCACTTGCCTCATTTGTGCCACATGACAGGTTGATGATTGTAATTCAATATTTGTCTTATCGTTTTGTAATACAGTGATCCCTCGCTCTAACGCGGTTCACTTTACGCGGCTTCGCTGTTTCACGGATTTTTTTAGTGCAGTTTTTTTAATGCTTTTAAACAGTGAATTGCGTTCTGCATCCGGATTTGCTAAGACACTGACCGACGTGAACAGTCTCCGCACCTCGTCTCTGTACAGCTTGCCAAATTTACCTTGGCAAATTTTTGGTCTTTGGTTTCATTGTATCAGTGGCGGATGCTGACCTGTCAAGGAGGGGAAGCTCAATTTCGGCCTACATCATAAAATGTGTCCGTTTATTTATACGTGAATTCTACTCTCCGATCCTTTTCAAAAAAATGAAGAGGATGCCTTCACCATAAGATCGATGATTGGCTCATTTCGCTGTCAATCAAAAAGATTCAGCCTCAGACAGATCATCCAATCATCATGCAGAAAAGCTGAGCTTCCTGGCCAGCCGATAAACGCCCACTCTCCATAGACTCCCAGAGACGCTGAGCGCCCAGTGGGCAGGAAAAAAAACAGCATTTATCCAATGACTCGTCTCAATGCACTGGGACAACGGGCTCTGAACTCTCGAGACGCCCAGCGTCCGCGCTGTAGACGCTCAACATCCACACAGTTTAAAGCACAGTGAAGCTGCAGGAATGAATGAGAAGACAGTCACGTTGTAACCAGTAATAAAAAGCTGATTCAGAACAAAAGTTGATTGCGTTGTAGCGCATATTTATTCAATGACATGTCCACACAATTGTACGTACACACATATATTTGATTAGTTAGTTTTTGACATTTTAGGGGAAGCTGAGCTTCCCTTGCAGTCTTAGAGCAATCGCCTCTGCATTGTACACATACACTCACCGACCACTTTATTAGGTACACCATGCTAGTAACGGGTTGGACCCCCTTTTGCCTTCAGAACTGCCTCAATTCTTCGTGGCATAGATTCAACAAGATGCTGAAAGCATTCCTCAGAGAGTTTGGTCCATATTGACATGATGGCATCACACAGTTGGCGCAGATTTGCCGGCTGCACATCCATGATGCGAATCTCCCGTTCCACCACATCCCAAAGATGCTCTATTGGATTGAGATCTGGTGACTGTGGAGGTCATTTGAGTACAGTGAACTCATTGTCATGTTCAAGATTCATCTCTGAGATAATTCCAGCTTGATGACATGGCGCATTATCCTGCTGAAAGTAGCCATCAGAAGTTGGGTACATTGTGGTCATAAAGGGATGGACATGGTCAGCAACAATACTC